AAAAGGCAATACGTTAAAAACGTTGTTTTTGGTTACTTTTTCATGTTCATGAAACCTACTGAAACCTAAGTACGTTTTGTGATCTACGAATATTTCAATATGATGATATGCTGAGCGAAGATCGTATGTAAATAGATAGTCCCCCTTTTCGAACATATGACTAGCTTCAACGGCATCTTCATATTTGAACCTAAATTTGTGTAAGTGGGGGTTAATATGCCTACAGTCAAGAACTAGTCTGAGTTTTCCTTTATTCCTCGCAACTGTGAGAGGATTGACTACTTTAGGTAACTCGGGTACTTGAGATTTACAACCCCGACTAATTAACTTAGTGATCTCGGATTCAACAAACTCTGACTTATCAAGTGCTGACTTATTGTTCCTTAAAATACAGCTTTCAGGTTCTGTATAAAACGGAATTTTGTAACCATCTCTAATAATACTTAGAATATAGTCGTTTGCATTTATACTTTGCCAATAAGTGTAAGCGTTGCGTAACCTATCTACAGGCGAATCGTTAGAGTTCACCTTTGTAACTTTACTTTTAAATGTGTTATCAAGCTTGACGAATTGTGAATGCGTCTCATTTGAAATTGTGCTTTTGTCAAAACTATCAAAGTTGTCTACAGTTTTATCAAAACTATTTACATGTTTACTTATCTTGTCATTCTTGTTTCTTTGCATTGCTGCACAAAAAGCACCAGTTTGATGGTCTACCCTCCAGTGTTCGGAAATACCACATTCATAACATTTCCCTGGGCGTTGAACTGGAACATTATTTCTAGGTGCGTTGGAATTAAATCTCGACGATTGAGAGGTACTGTAAGGGGTTGATCTATGCTGTTTACTTTGTTTCTCGTTCTTAATTTTCCGTGCAGCTTTGTTTTCGGCTCTGATGATTCGTTTTTCGTCTTCAGAGTCGTCGGCCAGACTATGAGTTTCATATTCTGTCACTGTTTTCCAGCCATTTTTGGATTGGTCTGCCAATTTAACTAATTTTAGTCTATGACGTAAAATATCCAAACCTTCACTTATACTTTGTGCTGCCTTTTGGTTCTGTTCGGTTTGCTCCGGGTCTTCCTTCAGAAAACATCTAGCTTTCTTCATCTTGTTGGCAACTTTGGAGTTTACTTTAAATTGTTCTTCATTCCCCTTTCTCTTGAAAACGTAATTGTCCGAATTCATCTCTTCAATCTTGGCAAGTTGTGTTTCTGATAATTGTCGTTGATTTTCGTTCGTCGACTTTTGGAAAGCGTCAAAACTGCTTTTAATAATCCTGTCCATATGTTGAACGATATCATTCTGTGCGGTTGACACAGCTTCTTGCACACGTTGTTTTATCAAGGAATCTAGCTGTACCGGCTCCGACATTTTAACTGTACGATGTCTACGGCTAGAATGACCACCTAGACAATTTTTTCACGAACCCGCGAAAAACAAATTAGCATAACAAAACGTTAGGTCACCTGACCTATCAAATCATACATCATTGACCCATACAAAATATGATAGAAACTTTAAGACAGTATTTTTCCGCTATACTGCGAAACGCTGAAAAATATATTTATCTTCTATTCGTGATAGATTAAGTGTTTAAACTTCGATCACTGTATATGTAACGGTCTACCTGTAGAGTTCACCTAATTACGACACACTTGGTTTGTTATTATATTTTCTAGTCGTATTTATAAACCTCGGTTTCTGATTGGTTGATAGGGACACACACCCCAATTATATTTTGAGTTAGAATGGGTTTCAAAATGGAGAATTTGACGTTTGAAAATATTATTTGATTTTGAACTTGAAATGCCTTTAGTTTGTCTTCAGTTAAATACTGTTAGTAACTGTGATTGTGCAACTAAAGGATTGTTCGATTATGATAGTTCATTTTGGAAAAGATCAAGTAATTTAGATGGTAAGTCATATTTTTCATTATTTGAGTTGGTGAGAATGGTGTTTGTTGTGAATATGGAATTTATTTGCCAACTAGTAAGTATACCCTATCCTGATATAAATAAGGGTTTGAATGAGAGTGATATGAATCTGTGCATACATCATTTATGAATCTGCAGTATAAAAGTGTAAAAGAAGATTTTAGTTTAATATTTGAAATGACCTTGACCTTTTGTCATGGTTGATGATTATAACTATTTTTAGATTTGATAATACGTATCAGTACAGTGTTAATTCTAGACTTGCAAATGTAACCTTAATTGTTATTAGATTGTTATTAAAGTGTATTAAATACTAGAATAGAAATATAATTATTGTAATTGTATTTACATCTCAATTGAGTATATTTATTGTATTATATTGTGACAGTTGTGGTTTTGCCATCGATATAGTTTTAGTATCAAATATGAATTTAACTAAGTTTCTAGGCTCAAAGTTAACCAATTTTTTTCAGAATTCTTACCTGTGTTTATTTTTATCTCCTTTCGTTAATTATAAGGGTTTTAGGTCCATATTGGTTCAAAGTCTTTTAAGTTTTCATTCATGTTATTCTCAGCTGATTTTACCGTCAAACCGAAAGTTGGATTTAGCTCGTGCAGAAGCGCGAACTTTTAGTAACTTAATTTTCTTGGTCTATTGATAACTATTTCAGTCAATTAGAGCATGCTATGTAAAAATTATTCGTAGTCTTTCTGGTAGATAGTTATTGTTATATCCTAAAAGCTTGGTATTTTACGAAGTAAAACATGTGAACTGTAAAGGGTTCATTTAAGTTTAAAAGGTCATACGTTTTCTACTATATAAGTCCGTATATTTCTTATATTCGTTGGTACATGTCTGAAGGGGACAGGTATGTTATCCGAGGGAATTGTGTTCAATTCTAGTTTTTGAAACCGTTTTCTTAGTTAAGTACCAGAGAGGATTGTTTCAATCCATTATATTGGTATTCAAACTTGCGCAATTTTGTAGTTTATAGCCTCCTTTTTGTTAGATAAATTTAATTAGGACATTTTTATAGATACTCCCGGTAGGTCAACTGTCACACGACTCCTGGTTTCAAGTTAGATAAATAAAATAAATAAGTACAATTTGTTTGATATTAGATGCTGATTAAATTTTGTACTTTGTTATAATAAAAGTTGTACTTTAAAATCTTTGTTTTCAAAGCCTATACAAGCATCTGAGAGATACGAACCAGGACGGGTACTCCACTACACGGTCCAGGACTAGTCCCTACCGAACCCCACGGTGTACTGGGACCTGCTCCTGTTACAATATCATTATTGTTTGCAGAACCCATTGTTTGTGCAGAACTGAGTCTATGATAGATGGTTGATTACAACATTTCTATACATCTAGTGTGTCACACTATCATAGACTCAGTTTTGCACAAACAATGGGTTCTGCAAACAATAATGATATAATACAATAAATATACTCAATTGGGATGTAAATACAATTTTTTTTTTATTTCAAAGTGTAATTGTTGCTAATTTTAAACTCCTTTTTATCCCCCCCCCCCCCCTAAATGTATTTGCCAATCACGGCGCCCAGAATGAGCAGAAAAAATTACGATTAATTGTTAAACATCATATACAAGTAGATTTAATATGTAAAACAATTTATGACATGGTGAGTTTTGATTTAATATCTAATCATCGCGGAAACACGCCGACAATTAACATAACATGCATAGTTTCTGTGCATTATTCCACATTTACAATACACCAATCTCCGTTTATTTTTTTCTTATGAAAGAGTTTCACCGCTTTACATGAGGCCAATCGGTACTTGATGTGACGCAGTAATATAAGCATTGTGACATAGGAAGTTTACGGAAAAAGCACGAATTCGAATGTCGTCGAAATACATGTATCACAGGCAATTTTAAAGATGGATCATCAAATATGGGTGTCATTCATTAATAATGGAGTACAGAGTTGTATGCAATGCACACAACCTTCCCAGCAGGCACAACAACGTTGATTCAACATTGAATAAACGTCAGATTTCAACGTTGAATCAATGTTGAAAAGTAGTGTTGGATTGAAAATTGATATGACGTTGAAAACATAACGTTGATTCAACGTCAGCTTTCAACGTTGAAAATTGGTTGAATTTTGGTCTAAATTTGGTCAGTGTATGTTGAAAAAAAGTCGATTGCTGGTTGAATTGTGGTTAGTGTATGTTGAAATCAGGTCGAATGTTGGTTGAACTGTAGTAAGTGTACGTTGAAATCAGGTCGAGTGCTGGTTGAACTGTGGTCAGTGTATGTTGAAATCAGGTCGAAAGCTGGTTGAACTGTGGTTAGTGTATGCTGAAAACATGTCGAATGTTGGTTGAATTGTGGTCAATGTATGATGAAATCAGGTCGAAAGCTGGTTGAACTGTGGTCAGTGTATGTTGAAAATAGGTAGGATTTGGGTCCAGGTAGACTGTTTTAGGGTTAATTTAAGTTGAAACTAGAAATGTGGTCAATGTGGTCAATGTTGAGAATAGGATGTTGAACATTGGTTAAATTGAGGTTTGATAACAGCTGAAATCATTACCCCTTATTATATCCATCAATACCATTTTATGTGTAATAAAACTATCGCAAAACTATATGTACTAAGTGGGAGTAGTCATGCGTCGGTGGTTGGTGTACATGTAGTCTGTTGCAGAATTCAATACTTATGTCATTGAAATTTCTGAATATTTCCCTTTTAAATTTCTCTACATTTCATGATCAAGTGGAAAATAAGTCATTCTCTTTGTTTCGGTAATACTGGTAAGGAGACCACTCATTTCTGAATCTGATGTTTATTATTCAAGACTTGACAAGAAGAACAGGCACAACTTATTAACCTTACCAGGCATAGATAATCGGAAACTTTATTGTAATGTCAGTTGGCATACATTTTTGTAACCTTATATTTCTTTATAGACAGGATCTTGTTGTGCTTATAACTATTCTGTTAATACACAAAACATGTTTGTGACATAAAACAGTAATTATATAACAAGTTGCTCACATATGCATCTTACAATTTTAAACAAACACAAACTGAACAATTAATTTTATTTAAAAGTTTAGTCCTTCTGCTAGACACATTCCCAGATATAACAGGGGCATATTTTAGGTATCTTGCACAGTAGTTCCATATTGTGGTCTCTGTTGCACACTAGTCACTTGTAACTACAGCATCTGCAACAGAAAAAAACATATTGTGCTATCTTTATCATAACTTCGTAAATATCATTATGCAGCTCTAATAAAGAATACTACTGTTATATGTGAACAAACTAGATATCATTGAGATTGGAGCCATCTCTGTGGGCCCCACTGTGAATAATGTGCATTACATTTTTTTTATCTTTATCATAGGACATGGTGTTGTCAACTGAAACCAAAGTTTTTGACCTTGAACTTTGGCCTAGGAAGTTGTACATAAATTATGACACACCATCTGGTGTTGGTTTATATACATGTCAAGTATAAACTTTGAAATCATAACGGTTCTCAAGATATAGAGCGGACACGATCTTTACCATAGGACATGGGGTTGTCAACTGAAACCAAAGTTTTTGACCTTGACCTTTGACATAGGAAGCTGCACATACATTATGACACCCACTCTGTTGTTTGTTGATATACATGTCAAGTATAAACTTTGAAATCATAACGGTTCTCTAGATATAGAGAGGACACAATGTGTTACGGACGGACAGACGGACAGACAGACTGGTCACTATAGGGCGTCCGCCATTTGGCGGGGCCCTAATAATCTCTGTGCAATGCTATTGTTATTTCTTTGAATATCTATTAAGAGCGACCATGTGTTTTTTTTAACTTGAGTTCAGACATGAGAAAATAAAAATATTTCTAAAAAAAAATAACAAAGATTTTAGAGACAAAGTGACAAAATCCCACACAATTTGTAATATGGAAAAAACAATGATATATATTATTTCAATACTCACCTCTTATCATTTCAAACTAGCTTGAATCACCGAAGGCATGTTTATTCTTTATACCCGGTAATATGTAATTTCCGACACGGGTTTATTTGTAAGACATCTACAAAAAAAAAAAAAAATTAAGTGCAGCATTTCTAAATTGTCAACTCCCTCTTTAACTTGAAGATAAAAAGTTTCATATGTGTGAAACGCTTACAAAAATTTGACTTCCAAAACCTTTCATAAATTGTTTGAAAAACTTATGGTTCAATTATTTTTATTGTAGCATGACGTTAAATTTGTCCTCCATAATCCAACGAGATTCTGGAATCAGTAGCGGATCCAGAAATTTTCATAAGGGGGTCCACTGACTGCTTAAGGGGGCCGCTCCAGTCATGTTTCATTGATTCCTTATATAATCAACCATTCTTCCCTCAAAAGGGGTGCCCGGCACCGTCCCCAGCTCTGCCTCTGAGAATCAAGGGCTTTAATTATAACTAATTTTAATCCTAAATTATAGTTTGACGACCTCACAATAAGCTAATGGGGTTTCAGTTTTATTTATCTTGACCGTCACTTATCTTGAGAAACATTAATGCACCACAGGCAACAAGATCTTGACAGTCACTTATCTTGAGAATCAATAATGCATCACAAGCACCGAGATCTTGACAGTCACTCATCTTGAGAAACAATAATGCACCACAAGCACCGAGATCTTGACAGTCACTCATCTTGAGAAACAATAATGGATCACAAGCACCGAGATCTTGACAGTCACTCATCTTGAGAAACAAAAATGCACCACAAGCACCGAGATCTTGACAGTCACTCATCTTGAGATACAAAAATGCACCACAAGCACCAAGATCTTGACAGTCACTCATCTTACGAAACAATAATGCACCACAAGCACCGAGATCTTGACAGTCACTCCTCTTAAGATACAAGAATGTCCCTATATATACTTTTTTTTAGTGTTTCGGCAGATATATAAAGCTTTGGATGGTCATCTTAAGGTAGATGGGGTGTCTAAATTATAATCCATAGAATTTTTTAATAATTTGCCAAAATGTAGTTTATATCAAGCTTTTTAAAAAAAAATGATAAAAAGAATGGGTCACGGGGCTTATTTTCACGCTACGGGTTGTTCAAAATTAACAGATTTTGTATGGATTATGCATGGAAAACCCAATTTTCTGCCATAAAACGAAAACTACACCATAGAATTTTGAGATAAAATATGAGAAGATAGCTTTAATAGTATGCTTTCAGATAAGAAAAAGAAAAAATGGGGTCACCAGACCCGTTGTCTTGCTACATAATAAAATAGGTAAATTCCTAACACATTCTATTGTAAAAGTACCTTTATCTGAATTATCTGCCCTTACATTTGAGTTGCCTCCCCTTATGTGGCAAAGTTGGAAAAAATTGAATCAAACAAAAGTTTTCTGTTTTTTGTAAAATACAACCATAAATATGATAAAACATGTCATTTTCTATATTGAAATGAAAATTCTTACTCATGAATTACCTACTACTCTCAAAATTTGCACATTCTATTAAAGATCTAGACCGATTGTTTTCAGGTATTACAAAATCCAAGATGGAGGAAGACACCTTATCTACCTTAAGATGCTTTACTTTAATATAATTCACAATAAATATTATTCCCGTATAATTAACTATATTAATATATATGTCTTTTTACATCTAAATTCTTCATCAATAGATACTTTCGGCATGGTTGCTAAACGCAAGAAGTAGTTCAACTTTGAACCTGTGTTTACATTTTTCTTCAAACTTCAATAAATTCCAGTCTTTTGTGTTACGTCTTATTTAAGTTTACGTTAACATGCATATGGATTAAGGGCATACGATACAGTTACAGGGGAAGTAATGACGTTGCTAACGTAAATTGTTATTTTCACGACGTCAAACTGCGACTTATCGGGAAAAGATGCAGTTTTCGACTGTTTGTTATCATTCAAACTGATTTATCTTGAAAACGAGTTCATTGACCCCTCTTTTTTAAAATGACATTTGGTTTGATGTTGTATGAAGATTATGTGTACCAATTTTCATGAAAAAGTCAATAATGCAATTTCTTTAAATTTGATAAATATACAGCAAAAAATGACGGTTTTTTTCTACATTCATGAACATTTGATAAATATGAGTTATTAGTAAAAATAAAATGCACAAATTTATAGGACATTTATATAAAACAGAATTTACAAATAATTTTACAAAAAACAGCTTGTGTTTATCTTTTAAAACAAAAAAGTTATGAATTTCTGTCGAAAGGAAAAATACGTCCACAAATCCGAATTTTGAGCAAATATCTGAAATTTCGATCTCAATTTACTCAAAAAGTAGCACATAAAGGTATATTTTTTATTACATATTTGATTAAATCAGGTAAAAAATAGCCTATATGCAAATTTTCATTAACATTTCATTATGGGATCAAAACTGTATCGTATGCCCTTAAGTTTACATATTGAAACAAAAGGAATATTTTCTATTTCCTTGATTTTTTTGCGCTGTAATAGTTCAATACGGTCAACTGAAAGAACATCTATTTCGACGTTATCATATAAACCACTTTGAAATTAGTTAGATCATTGTGTATTAATTTGTTATGTTCACACATGTTTCTTATCTGCTGTACTGCTTCATTAATAAATCCTCGGAATACATGCTGTGAGTGACATCTATTAATTCTGAACCAGAGAAAAGAATTTGTTTGTTTTAAATGTGTTGCAAGGTCAAGAATGCCATGTGTTGTAAATCTTTGACTTTTAATTATATCAACATATAAAACATGTAAAAGAACATATGTGAATTTCAATAATTGATTATCATTATTTGCCAGACGAATAAATTCTTCAATTTCATCCGATGTTCCATGATATATTTTGACTCCACCCTCCCAATATCTGCAATTAAAGAATTCTTTGCCATACGCTTTTGTTTTTAATTACCTAATCATTGTTCATAAACACACTTCCCCTTTTTCAAGTCTTTACATAATAAGTTGCCTCACTCAATAAATGTACAAATATATCTTAAGGTCAACATTGATGTTCCCAGAGACCTAAACAATATGTGTGCATCTTATCTGCTGGAATATGACAACTACGTGTATAATTATAAATTATTTCTGATCTGCTTAAATCACTATACTCATATAATTACAGCTACACTATTGTATACATTAAATTATCATATAACTATTATCAAATCAAACAATAAATGAAAATTATACTTACTTTGCACTGCTGAGAGCAACTGTTAACTTTATGTGGTAATCACAGCTACACTATTGTATACATTAAATTATCATATAACTATTATCAAATCAAACAATAAATGAAAATTATACTTACTTTGCACTGCTGAGAGCAACTGTTAACTTTATGTGGTAATCAAATTGGCGCAAATAAATTCGAAATGTCGGCCTCATACGCATGCGCCAATCAGAAAAAGATATCCGTTTCGAGTAATTATAATATTTTATTGCAATTTAAAGATTAATTTATATATGCAACAGTAATAATTTAATTTATTCAAAAACATCAGTAAACCAATATAAATAAAAAGTGATTATTTTAGCTGAAAGGACTATACAAAGTTGGTTCAATCTCATCTTGAATGATACTTTGGTCGACACTTAAAGTCATCAACCTTAACTAAACCTTTTATCAACGTTATATTTTCAACCAATTAAAGCATTGAAAGCATCAACTCAAATTTAATGTTGATTCAACGTTGAAAGTTCAACGTTGATATTTCTAACCACAGATCAACGTTGATTCAACAACGTGATTTAAACGTTGATAGGATTGACGTTGATACAACGTTGATTTTACGTTGATCAACGCTACAACCAAATTTCAACATATTTTCAACGTTGGTTCAACGTTGTGTGCCTGCTGGGTTATTATTATTATTTTTATTTTTATTAATAATCATCCAGTCACTTCCTTTTTAATTTATTTTATAGCCGTTTTGTAATTTTATTTATTTATTATTATTTTTTTTTAAATTCAAGTAAGAATATTTGAAAATGTGTTGATAGTTAGGCAAATGATATATATATTGTAAATTTATAGACGAGCTGTATTGTTTACTAACAATCAAATTTTGCATCAGCAATTTGCTTCATATTATCATTACACATGTATGATATTTGCCACTGGACATTAAGCAAGCAATAATCAATCATACTATGTATATCTTTATTATCTGTATTTGGCAATCGGCAATGACTGTCAGCAGGATTTCAGTCATCCGCTGTTCGACCTGCTAGTCGTATGCGTTTTGTTAAAATATCCGTTTTTACTTTTTTGGTCTTTTGGAAAATGTTGTTTGTGTTGTATTTAGACCCCTCTACCAAGAAATATGTTTTGCATGCACACGAATAAAAATTGCGGTTTTTATCCAACGCAATCATAGGTTTGAACGTTGTTTTCAATTTAGACTTGTTTATTATCTTTATATATATCGAAAAGCTAGTCCTCGGTTCTTGTACATATTGTAGTTCTTGAGTGTTCAGAAATTATATAAAATTTTATTCTTTACATTGTGATCTTAAATTCTGGTTATCTTTTAGGAGCCATGTCTGCGCAGCTCAGGCGGTCGGCCAGGAAGAGGGAAAATATGCCAATAGTGGCTGCAGCTTCAGCAAGAAAAAAGGTTAACCAGAGATTACCCGCTACTACGTCAGTACCTGCACCACAGTTTCCTACAGTTGACACAGCAATTATACCAGCTACCAGTTCTGCTGGGATATACCCAATGTTGTATTCACAGACAGGAGCTGACTTATATACAAATACGTTTCCAGTCACTTCAATGAGCACAGCTGATACTTTTTTATACTCTAAAGCACCAATCCAAAGAGTGTTTAAAATAGTAACCAGTCAATATGTTTCACAACATTCATTAGGTAATGGTACCTCAAACTTTACAATGCCATTTAGTACACTTGATCACCCTATTCAGATACTAGTAACCAGCATGCACACTGCTATAACTTTTTATGTTTCTCGAAGTATTATAGAAAAAGTTGTGAAAAGTAAATTTATGGATTTAGGCATATTGTTGACAAACAATACTCAGCAGGCTACACAACAGCTTGTTTTTATAGGGGGTGAATTTATTGTACAAGCTGAAAATATACAAAACAAAATTGGGTCTATTGACCAATGGACATCTGCATTTATCGTTTTCTTTAGTGTATATTGTACTGCGCATTTAAATAGATTAAAAGAATTACTTAAATACATGTCGGTTGTACGTTTGGGTGCAAAGAGAAACCCTAATAGTTTAAGTTGGAAGTTGTACGATGAGCAGTTTAGGTTAGGCAAAGCGCTGGATCCAGCAAGTTCATGGGCTATATATATGGCTGATAGTTGTGGCACACATAATTTGGTAGTAGTTTCTTCCGGTTATATGGCATTTTCTTCTAATAGAAATCTGAATAGCAGGTTGAAGTGCTATGCTTTCAATTATAATGGCAAATGTATCAATTCTTTTTGTCAATATAGTCATGCATAAATACAGTGTCATGGTGGTCATTTAAACCAATATAGTAATTTGCCTCCACAAATAAGACCAAATTTTAGGGTCGGGCAACCATATGTGAACTCGAGGTTTTCAAAACCAGGATAAATGTCTTCTCAAAATTTTGTATTCAGGCAACAGCAACATACAAGACCTAGAGCTCTTGGCACATCTATGGGAACTAGGGCATACCCCAATACGAATTAAAAGGTTGAAAGAGTTACTGCAAAATTATCCCAACAGGAAGGCAGCTGAAGAATTGTATAGAGGATTTTCTCTTGGCTTTCGTTTACAATATACAGGACCTAGAGAACCTCTCAAAAAATTTGCTTTCTGCAAAGCACTTTAAATAGGAAACTTTGAACAAATAAAAAACAGAAATAGAGTTGGGTAGGATTGTAGGCCCTTTTTCAAAATTGCCAATTTCGAATTTACGTATTTCACCAATTGGTCTAGTTCCAAAATCAAATTAGGGATGGTGGTTGATAACTCATTTATCTCACCCAGATCATAATAGTGTAAATTCTTATATTGATCCCGCACTTTGCAAAGTTAGTTCTTCCACCTTAGACAGTATACTTGATAAGATTTATTAATTGGGTAGTAAAGTTTTCCTTGCCAAATTGGACGTGAAATCGGCTTTCCGTTTACTAATTGTAAATCCTGCTGATTTTGATTTAATGGGCATTAAATTTAACGGTTATTACTTTGTCAGCTATGGGTTGTTCGCTTTAGTATAAACTCTTCAATACCTTTGCAACTTTTCTTCGGCGGGTTGTTGAAACGAAGTCAGGTTTAAATTCAATTGATCATTATTTAGATGACTTTATTTTTATGGGGACTGAAAACACAAATGATTGTTTAGTGTTGATGGATACATTTGCGAATGTTTATAATGAGTTAGGTGTTCCCATTGCAGAAAATAAAACAATGGGTCCAACTACCGTTTTACCCTTTTTAAGGTTTATTATTGACACCAAACTCATGACGATTTTGATTCCACCAGAAAAGTTAGAAAAGCTGAAATTGCTACTTGAACCATTATTGTTTAGGAAAAAAATGTACACTTAAAGAGTTGAAATCTGTGAAAGGGTTACTGTCATTTTGTTTAAAAGCCATTTCATCATCTCGTGCTTTCATTCATAGATTTTATGATTTGATGGGGTATGCAAGGAAGCCGTTTCATAAAATAAGATCGAATACAGAGGTCAAGTCAGATATAGCTTTGTGGTTGCAGATCCTTGAAAATTTTAACAGCCAGTGTTTCTTTCCAGACAAGATTTGGATATCTAATGAAATTATGCAACTATTCACCGATAGCTCTGGCAACCCTAATTTGGGCTGTGGGGCATTTTTCCAGGGGCCATGGGTACAATTTAGTTAGTTTGAAACATGGAAAGAATTATAAATTATGAGGAATCTGTCATGTTTGGAGTTGGTTCCAGTGGTGCTTGCCATGTATTTATGGGCAGAAAATCTACAAAAACAAAAAGATCCATTTTAATATTGACAATATTGCATTGGTTAGTATTGTTAACAAAAGGTTGTCAAAAGATGAACAAATAAGGAAACTGAATCGTCCATTTGTGTTACTGACAATGATGAATAATGTACAGTTTAAAGCTGTGCATATTGAAGGGTCGAAAAATACGGTAGCTGATACCATCTCTCGATTTCAGATGTTACGCTTCAGAGCTCTGAATCCAACAGCCAGAAGTACCCCAGCAGGGATATCAGAAGATTTCTTGACATTAATTTCAAACATTTAATTGGGTCCCTTATAGAAAGTCCAGTTGCCCCAAGTACCTTTACGACCTATCAGTGAGGTGTATTGGCCTTTAATGAGTTCAGACAATTGTTTGGATTATAAATGTATGGCCCATACCATTGTATGAATTATGCAATTTTATGGCATATTCATTTTAAGCAAATTACCCTCATTCCTCTATTAAGTGTTATTTAGCAGGGATAAGTTTTTTCAGTAGAATGAATGATTTTGAAGATTTTACTAAAAAACATTTATTATTAAAAAAAAAGTTGGAGGGAATTAAACGGTCAAGGCAAAAAATTAACAATGCAACATTGCCCATTATCAAAGAATTGTTACTATAAATAGTTGAAATCTTGCCCTTTTTTTGTTACTCTAATTATAATTAAGTTTAGCTGTTCAAGGCTGCCTTAGCATTAGCCTAACACGGTCTTTTGAGAATAGGGGAATTAGCAGTAAGTAATGGCAAGTCGGCTCATATTATCTCTATACCTGATGTGTCATGGTCATCTTGCGGAGTCTTGAAAATTCGCGTACCTTTTTCAAAAACAGACCAGTTGGGTACATGTGCCTTAATTACATTGCAATCACAACCAAATTTAGAGGCCTGCCCATGCAAGTTGATACAGTCTTTTCTCTTGGATAGACCTCCTTCACCAGGAGCACTTTTTATGTCACTTCAATGGCGCAGCAGTAACTCGTTATCAATTCATAACAGTATTGAAAAAATCATCGGAAAGACTTGGGGTAAATTACAAACACTATAGTTCTGATTCATTTCGCATTGATTATGCTACTAGCTTGTCACTTGGAGGTGTGCCAGATGCCATAATCATGCAACTAGGGCGTTGGAAATCCAATGCTTACAAAACTTGCATCAGATCATAAAGCTTTTTATATTGTTTACAGTTTTAGTTTTAAATCGTATATAATATTTGTTAAATGTAAAAAAAATAAATTGTATAGGTAAACCTGCAAAGATATGGATTATGGGGTCTTCATTAGTGAAGAATGCCTTTATTGGGACTAACCTGTGTCTCGACAGATTGAATGCAGAAATTTGGTGGCAAGGAAAATCTGGCATGGTTACAAGTCAGCTTAGAAGACACCTTAGAATAATGTTAAGATATGAATAATCCCCAAAATGTCTAGTCATACATGCAGGTGCTAATAATTTAGGAAATATAAAAACTAAGGATTTA